CCCCGTTAAAGCGTGGCCTGTGTCTTTCCTGTAGCAGATCTGGGTCATCGTCCGCCTACAGAAAGCTACGAACAGGGCCCTGCTGGGACCCACGTCCGCTCGACACCTACGAGCAACGCGCAGAGTCCGTCCGCGCCAGAGCTGAGGGACAGTCGGTCTCCAGTTAAACCAGCGTTAGGGACCAGGGAAAGGAGCAAGGCCTCGTTTCCTGCGGGAGCCTCATCCCTGTCCTCCCGCTCCCCTCCCACGCAAGCAGGAGCCTCCTATGGATTAGCTGCAAACACGGTCTTGCTCAAGCATCGGGAGCGGTCTCTGTTACCTCTCTGCGGTGATCTGTGCTACCCCAAGAAGCCGAACGCTTGTGAGAACTGGAGCTGGCTTTCCCCACTTCTGTTTCATACCAGGACACTGGAGTCTGAAGTGACGAGAAACAGGGCTGAGAACAATCACAACATTGACTGGTTTGGAGACTGGTGGTAGAGACCGAAGAGAACAGAAGCGACCAGCCCCTGCCCACACACTGCCCTGCTCCAGCCTTTCCCCATTGATGCGACGCTCAGCGAATGCACTACAAGATCTGCCTGAAAAAATTGCCCCAAACCAAGTAGTTTTGACCATGTTTGTGCCTGTTACAAAACTGCACCTCACCCAGACCTTGCTCAGAAGTCAGTAGCTTAAGTGCAACATGACAGAGCCCACGGAGACCTTATGGAGAAATACCCATGGCTGCCCCTGCACGGGCTGCTGCGAAGCAACGCAGGGAGAAGCCTGGCGGGGAGGAAAAGCCTCGGTCTCCCCTTGTTTTGACGTGAAACAAGGAAAAGCCTCGGCCTCTCCTTGCTTCACCATGAAACGGAGCCTCTTCCCATTCCGCAGAGCGGCCTCGGCTCCGCGTCGGCACTCGGGGAAGCGGAGAGGGGCTGCTGATCCGATGAGCACGGGATGGCCCTCGTGTTCCTCTTTCCCCCACGGCATTTTGGGGCCCTGGTGGCATTTGCCCTGCCAGGAGGCGCGAGGGCCTGCAAAGGGCTCCTCTCCCAGCAGCTCAGCTCAGCTGCCCAGGGGTCACTGCAAGAGCAGCAGCTGTTTGCGACAGCCCCTGGTGAGTCGGGAGCAAGTCAGAAGCCTCTCTTCCCAAAAAGGAGCTGGAAAACCTGGTTAAGCTAAAGGAACTAGGCAAAATACTCTGAGAATTACAGGGTGTTATTGAGGTCCTGCT